TGGTTTGTAACCAATTAAAAATTTGGGTAACTTCGGGGCCCTTTTTGTTTGGGGGGCCGGTAACCTTTGGGCTTTTTGTAACCGTGGGGGGGCTATAATTTTCAAAAAGTTTTTGGAAGCTAAATGGGTAAAGGGTTTTTTTAGGATCCCCCCCCCCCCCCCTTTTAGAAATTAAGAAATTAATTTCCACCCCCCCCCCCCCCCTCCTCCCCCCTGCCCACACCTAAACACACACATCTCAGTTTCAAATTTAATTGAGTTCTTAAATGCCTGGTTCTGTCGGCACCCTCTTCAATCCCTTGGTCCACTTACTGATGCCTACAGACGACCATGAATTTGGTTAAATTAAGCTATTTATTGTAAACAACAAAAACAACCAGGACAATACAATCTATATCATCATCCTGACTTCTTAAACTCACTTCCTGTTTCATTCTCTATATATTGTGAGTAGTCCGTTGTACAACAATTCACGACGGTTCAAAAGGTCAATTTAAATGAGAATGAGATGAAAAAAGAAAACAGAAACAGAACAATATGTTGGCAAAACATTGCTAGCAGATAATAAACTTTTCACATGAGGAAGTATATCATAATAAAAACTGGTATCAGGTGTCTAGGAGTAAGCGTAAGAGCAATAATTTGAGTCCCACTTTGTGTTCCAGTTTGAGCTAATTTTTGCCAAGGTTAACGATTATAAGAATACGGGCTTAAAACACAATGGAATATATTATGGTATAACACACTTCTTGAAAAAAAAAAAATAATCTACACGTGTCCTTCTGAGATTCATATCTGATGGAAGTGTTTTATACCATAATATATTCCCGCGTGTTTTTTTTTTATACCTATCGGACTTAACACAAATTTTCATGAACAGAACTCCCGAAACCACAGAAAAGTCAACAATTTTATACAAATACATTTCTTTGTAGGATGTCTGAAAACAATTTTATATTAAAACGGACAAGAAAAACTTAATCCAAACAGGAAAATAAAGTCTCTTTACACGGGAAATACATGAAAGGGGGTGTAACTACATTAGAGTGTGTATTTGTATTGGTAATTGTTGGTGTTTCGACAATGGCTCTCTTATAACGAGGAAGTTTTAATATGAATAATAATATTATTCATTCTTTACGCATCATTGGAAACATCGCATTTAAATGGAGACTCTAAATCTTACAATACTTTTAAATTTGGCAACAACTTTAGGTAAGCAATAGTTTTATTTTTAACAATTTGCTATTTGAAATGTGCTTACAAACAGTGGCTCAACAATATGAGTGGGGGCTTGGACCTAAGTGGGTTGAGACTTTGTTTTATTTTTTATCATATGCTCTGCTTGGTTGGGTCCCAGTATACGTTGTGAACAATTTTATATTGTGTGTTAACTTTGTAGATACTTACTATGGGGACATTTTGCTTAAAATTTTGACTTTTTTTTCTGGAGATGAGGGCGATCTGAAGGGTGGGGCCCTTGGACTTGGTTGTAGTGGAGACACTATTTACAAGGGTTCATCAGAAAAACCCCAATCCCCATAATAACCGTAGACGAAACGCCGCTGATTGTAGAATTATGATTCACATTGTTCACAATTTGTTTCACATTCTTCTCTTTACTTCCGCAAAGGGTTTCAACAATGGAAAAATCGACCTGCTCGCCTACCCCTAGTTATTTTCTAATCTTTGACCTCGATAAGAAGAGTATTGTCCGACTGGATCAAAGCCACATTAACATTTTGGTGATATTTATATACGAAGGGCAATAACACAACTTCATGCATTTCTGATAGGGTATTTCTATGTCTCCGAATAACGAATACTAATCACGTGCAGTCAAACCTGTACGAACTGCCACCTCTTAATTTCCGCTCAGCATTTCTTAACCATATTAAGTTAAAAGGATTGTAAAGAGGTTTTCTAAAAAAAAAAATACATGTATCGGGGACATAGTTTCAATTTTCACCATTCCAATTTTCAATCAGACGTCCGTGGTTCCTGCAATTCCACTAAAACTGAGTGTTTGATGACGTCACTAATCGCAAAATAATATGCTTGTATCAGTTAAGGCCCTTCGCGATTAGCATGACATCAAACACTTAGTTTTAGTGGAATTGCAGGATCTGCAGACGCCTGATTGAAAATTGGAATAATTCCTTTAATGTTATAGATGTATTGTTGTTTTGTATAGTATCAGGTCAAATAAGTACTAGTACAGAGATTTCTTCACCTCATAATCTGAATTGTACTGATGGTAAAATATTCCTCTACTCTGCCTGCTATTCACCATGTCCTGACAACAAATTTCCAGACTCAGAATTGGAGGAACTATATAGAAACTGTTCTTATGTTGAAAGTTGTCATTTCAAACCGGAACTCAATAACGAGTCTACTATTAGGTTTACTTGTGAAGGTGGGTACCATATACTAGTACTATACGGCTCTTCGTAACCTTAGTTGTCTCCAGATAAACCTTCACCCTAAAGGGAAAAGTTTCAAATCATTAAATCGAGATTACAATATGGGTGGTGGGGTGGGGAGTATTTGTTTCTACATCCTATTATTGTATCCCCAATTCATCTCATAGAAATTTCAAAATATGATTTGCGTACGCTTCTGACTCAAAATATGCCTGGAAATACTTTACAGAGCCTCCATAGAAACGCTTCCGCATTTGCAATTTATCTCCAGTTTGTACCAGCCGTTTAGGTTTGACAGGCTTCTAAGTACAATATGGAAGTGTCTGAAACAAATGAAACCTTGATATTGATGTCAGAAACAGAGTAAACGATGATTAATCAATATTATACAATGATTATGTGTACAACCGGGTGTCTGGATACGAAATTTGTTGCAGACTCCCAAATTTTTCCATCTCTATTTACCAATATTGTGTTTGTTTTGCAGATGAAAATCTGCATTTCCTTTCAGATGAAGAAGTTTTGACAAAAAATTCTACTAGAATTCGCTTTTACTATGACGGAAAATATTACAAAAGCGCAGACCGAGGACTTCTGTGTATTATCAAACCAACGAATCGGTTGAATTTTTATAGAAACTGGATAGCTATTCAAAAAACCAGTCAAACTGTTCTGGAAGTAGATGTTTTTGGTGAGAGTAGGACGTTTTCAGCCGGGACTAGCATCTACAGGAACAATACATTAAATACGGCTAGTGTGGTTATACTGAAGTTACTACCAGATCCACGTCAACACGACCAAATATCACTTGGTTTTACAGCTAAGGACGGAATGCTTAATATCAACTGCTCTATTTTGGAAATACCAGGTCCAGTGACAACATTAGCTGTGGCCAGATCCACCGAGCCGCGATCTTACGCAGGTAGACTTCTTATTCTGAAAAACAATCAATAGAAGTATAAGATCACTATACGTTTAAACCAATCAAATGCCCCGTGATAACCATAAGTGATGTCAACCACTGTCAATGGTGTTTGTACTGACTTTCATTTGTAGATTTTCAGAATTTCTCCAGGTCGTGATAATAAAAGACCATGCACTCTTTTGAAGTAGCCAATGACAAAGGCTTTCCAAGTGAATACCTTGGAATTGCTTTAGAACTTGACTACAGCAAGCTTATGGCCTCTTAGCCACCGAGGATTGTGCTTGACAAACATGAGTTTCGCCTGATAAGAATGATCCGGTAGACTCTATTATCAATTTGATATGTTTGAATATTTTCAGGTAAATCTGGCGATGATAACGGTATCACCACCATCATAATTATAGTGGTCTGTGTGACTATCATAGTCATTATTATCGCCGTTAGCTGCATCATTTATAGGTAGGTTCTTCAGCTATATTTTAACACAAAAGATCTTCTGTGAAAGATCAGTTAGCATTCCGATTTAGTTTAACTGACACAATAGACAGTTGCAGAATGATTTTTACTCTGTTGGATTATGGGATTTCAGTAATAGTCAATTAGAATCAAGGGCACATAACTGTTGATGTTGTGAAGCTAACGATCCCAAAAAGAACTATGCTTAGATCGGAACTTATATATTTATTTTTGATTTAATGCTTTTTCAAGTTGTATTCTTATACCTTCGGGTGTGTTAGTGTGCGTCTAACTATGTTAAATATTAATTCGTAGTGCTATTTGTGGTGAGGTCTTGTTGCACTTTCTATTATAATTGACTGCTATCGATTTACTTCCGTTTCAGAAAGCGTAAGAAATTCATAGCCAGAAGAGAAGAAAGAGGTGTAGAGCTAAGTAAAGCTGTTTCTGAAGCAAATAACTATTCGAATGTACCCAAGGCAAACAACAAACGACTTGAACTAAACAATTATGATTATTCAACATCGGTTAATGCATGCAACCCTCAGAATACTTTCAACAACACAAGCTCTGATGACGTCAACAATACTGGATTATCACGTGACGGGAAGAAGATAGTTAACATGAAGCAGTTAGAATCACGTATCAAGGCATCGGGATATTCTGAGCCGATTGACTCTTTGAAACCGATCAAAATTTCATCAAAAGCTGGTGATTATGCTGAACCATGTAACGAAAAGGAGTGTTTCACTTCCAAATGCTTACAGAACAAGTCGATGTTAGAAAACTATGATAAGGATCACAAGCCAAAATCTGGAGGAAATGCGTACAGCCATGTTGGCAGTAATACAAAGGAATCAGATGATTATGACCATTTCGATAGAGCCAAGGGTAATAACTCCAAAGTACCCGATGAAAACTATTCTCATGTACCTGTTAAAGGGCTGGACGAGGATGACTACAACACGACAAGACAAATATTATCGGAAGAGACCACCCCTAATCCAAATTATGATCACATTGGCAACATATAGCTGATATTTTTGTATCCTAGGACAACTGGATAGCTTGACCATATCTTCGCAGCTTCATTCTAATGAACTCTTGCCGTGTGAAAGTCCGATGAACTTGAAAAAGTCATCTTCACTCATAATTCCAGTCGACCCAGCTGTAAATGGGTACAGATAATCTGGGAAAGATCAATGCCAAGGACAAGCTGGTAGAAAGGGCCCTTGATTGTGTAATGAACATAAGTTGTTATCCTTGTAAAATATAGTTGTTTCTTTCTTTAAATATTCAAAACTTTGTGGATCCGGCTTTATCCTATTAATATGTTTTTTATTTGGAAAAACCCTGAAGGGAAAACTGTTCGCTATAATTATACAGCTTGTGAATCCTATATAATACATGATGCATGTTGAAGGGGAAATAATCTCATTTCTATACTATAGACTACAAATAAATACATTTTTATTGTTTTATGTATTGCTTCCGGTGTTTAATTCGTTAAGATTAAGTGTTTTCTGGGTATCTTTTATAAAATTCCACCTTGAAAAGAATTGAAAAGATTTAAAATGTCCTTTAATCTACATGGTGGGGTTTCAAACTATCTCGTGAATGGACATGGACATATTTCTGGCAGCCATAAGGAAATGACGGGAGTATAAAGAATCTCTCGCCCTCCACTTTCAGGAGTCTAAATGGGTCTTGACTACTTGTAAATAGGCTTCAAAAGTACTAGAAATGCATTAAAATCATATAGTTCCATTCTTCATAATCAAGGTCGGGGTATGAGACATTGTGAACATACAACATGCCCCACTATTCTACTGTATTTAGGGTTAATAATGACGGATGAAGAATTAAAAGAAAAGTGTTCGTCATATGTTTTATTACAAATAGAATTATCTTCAATAAGCTATCTCTAATATCGACATTAAATTAAATAAATATATCACAGTTAATTGGATCGATTTAAAATATTAAAATTTACAGACTCAACTACTTTAAATTTAAAAACAATTAATTAGACATTGCCCAAAAACAATGTAACATAAGTTTGAAACTAAAAGGAATTGTAAAGAGGTTTTTCTAACAAAAAATATGTGTATCAGGAACACTGGAAACATCAATTTACACCATTCCAATTTTCAATCAGAGGTCTGAATTTCATAATATCACTAATCGCGAAGAGTTTTATGTTATTACAAGCATATTTTGTTACGTCATCAAAGACTTAGTTTCAATTGAATTTCAGGAACCACAGACGTTTGATTGAAAATTGGAATGATGCAAATTGGTGCTATTAATTTCCCAAATACACACTTAAAAGTTTAGAAAACTTCTTTACAATCCCTTGCTTGTGTGAAAAACAAGATTCAAGAGATTGGTTCCAAATATAATTTGACGTATCTGTCTGACAGTGATAAGAATTATGTAACAATATAACTAAAATACTAAAAGGTCGCAATAACTAATTATGCTGACAATAATGCTGGTTGAAATACAATACTGAATGAGCGGAAGTGACAGGTAATGGCACTAGGTGAAGTTTCTAAATCAAATATCGAACATTCGAAAAGTTTCATAAAATCAGCCAATAGCCAATAAAATATGGCGGAAAAGTGTGTACGTCAGAAATGTTATTTCAAAGATTTTTTATTCGCCGGTTGTTAGCAAATATTCTGATTTTCAATTTAAATTAAAAAGTCTAAATTCTAAACCTTACATTAAAACGTATATAGTAGTAGGTCAGATAGGGAGCACCAACAATATCAGATAAAATTGTCTTAATCATGCAACAACTTGGATCTAAATTACCCAATAAAACTTTAAAACCTCTCAAGATTTTGTTATCTAAATACATGTAATGTGCAATCTATATCCTATGTGAATAGAAAACTTTCTACTCCTTAACACCCAATGCCTCATAACTAAACATAATCTTAACAAATCAAATAACATCATAACAGTCTTATTAAAATTGGACAAAACTTTCGTTCCGTTTTTAAAAATATAAGATGATAAAAAAATTGAACGAAAATTTGATCATATTTTAATTAGACTTACGTTTACACAAGCTTGAGATACAAAAATGGCATTGCTAGTGTTGGCATTTCAGTTTTTCATTATTTAATAAGCAAATTAAATGTATATAGTCAACTAAATATTTCTGTCATCAGCTGGTAAGTGAAGGACAGCTAAAGCTAATTTGTATCAACAGGTAAAGCAAAATCCAATATTAATCTACTACATATACATCAATGAAATAATAAATAGATATTATAAGATGCCCTCACACCAAAGCGATTACCAGTTGCGTATGGTTGCGAATTAGGAAAGTGGTCATGAGTACCGAACGTAACTCACAACTAAGTTGCATGGGAGTTGCGCTGGAAATTTATGATAGTTCTTCTTAATTGCGACCATACAAAGCTGATGTTAGGGCCCCATTAAGGTTCTAATTACAAATATACTATACAACTATCAATAATTACAAATAGCACTATAACAAGATTGAGCGTGGTACAGGCGGGTAGTTATTTATACACGTCCAGAGCCGGTGTTCCCAAACCATTACTCAATATCTTCAGGCGTAGATAAAAGCTTACCAACATTTTGAAAGCAAAAGAGCCTTTCATCAAATTAAACTTCCTGAAATACTCGAGCGGAAACCGATTTCAGTTTTTTTTGTTGGGAAACGTTCAAGGACCACGAAAGTATAAAATGAGACAGTGTGCCCAATATCGGGGTTCAGCTATTCGGAATCTGCCGATGATTGCCAAATGAGGACCAGCTGTTCACCCAGTGTTCCCGAGATGGGCATGCCGTGCAATGATAGCGACAGACACGCACCATAGTAAGATGGATCAATCCCGTCAGTTATCCGAAACTTGCTGCCTCATTCCAGCCTCTGATAGATTGGATATTTTTTTGGGTTATTGGCGAGTGTCAAAATATCAGATGCTGCAAAGAGTCAGCAAGTGCCGGACAAGCAATACATGTCCACTGCATATTTATTATGAGATCTGCCATTACCTTTAACTCATAGTCCTCAGAACATCATCAACGGCGTCACTATCGGTATCTATTTCTGATTGGCTGGCTCCTTCATGGATTACGATTGGCCGATTTGAGAACGAAACCTTTTTCTGCCTGGATGAATGGCTATCATTAGCAGAGTTATCGTCTCTTGAGCTCAAAATAGGTTTGATGTTGTCATTCAAATCAGTTTCATCCTGTTCGACAAGATTATCAGGTACCAAGTTAAATTCATTTTCTAAATTTTTTAACTTTTCTGTTTCGTTTTCGCCAATGCTTACATCACCATTTGAGTAATCTGTCTGGTCAATTGATGCTTTCATACTGGACAACGATTCGATGATTTTGTCTTGATTGTCCATAGTTGTCTGATCATCTGGTTTTATCTTATTGTTATTGACCTCGTCAGAGCTGACATTGCTTTCAGCATCAGATGGTTCCTCGTCGGAAAACAGTGTGGATGGTTTATCACTTGCAGGTTCTTGTATAACAGCTGTATCTAAATCATTATTAATAGTAGGAGAACTACTCAGGTCTTCAAATCCATTCGGATGCTGGTCCAATAACTCTTGGCATCGGTTGTCAGAATTCTCTGGTGATGAAAGTTCCTCTGGAATTTGCGTTTGCTCTGCTTCCTTGACGAGGTTAGATTGTGAATCCGTTGTGACATCCGTTGACGTATGAGATTCATTTTTATCGCTGAACGTCGATTGATACAAGCCTCGTTTGAACGAATCGCTCAGTTCCTGAGAATCCAAACCTTGCTGGAGTTCCGGAGTGCTGCTTGGCGACTGATAAGAGTTGTCTGTTTCAGTATCAGAGTTTAGATTGCTTGGTTCCTGTCCAATGGCTCTGACGGGAGAGGGTTCGTGCATGCTTTGGTGCATTACTGGAAATTCCGCATCGTCGTATGACCGTAACTTTTGTAACCGTTTTTGGAGATTTTGCGACATTTCTTCTTCAGATTCGACATTGATTTGAGAATCTTCTGCATCCGCCTCTTTGTCTCGTGGAGTCGTTCCATTACCGTCGACTGGTATTTCCACACTTGTTTGATCCTCGGTAACGCTACCTGATTCAATATCACCGCTAGGACTTTCCTTTGCTTCATCATCGTCATCAGCATTGTCTTCAGATGCTTCATCTGCCAACTGATAATATACTATTCCTTGTAGTTGATCAGACAATTCGTAAGTCTGATTGTCATCAATATCATCTATTTTAGTTAATGGTCCAGTGCTGCCTCCTGGCGGTTGGCTATTATCCTCTGCCTTTTTAAACGAATTTTCAATCAGCTGAGTCACAGGCGGCGTTTGGCTGTCATTGTTTAATTCCTCCATCATTCCCGCTTTCAATGTTTCTTGATCGTTGATAATTTTAGTGTCTGTATTTACTGCCATATCAAGGGCTGCTCGCTCTAGATCCTTCTGTTCCTGGATAACATCAACGTCCTTCTGAAGTTCGGTGGATATACTAAAACCTGTAGACTTGGCCTTTTCTGTCTCTTTTGCATCTTGGGCGTGTTTCACAGAGATCAAAGGACTATGTTGTTCTTGTCCAATTTGTTCCACAGCTGCTAGTTTAAATTGTTTTTGTTCGTTTATGCAGATTGCATCCAGTGCACTCCCCTGATCTAATTCATTTGGTAAATACGACCCAGAAAGGACATCTTGATCCTTAAGTTGTGTAGTTTGGACTTGTGAAGGGTCCTGTTCACTGACAGGTTCATGGTCCTTTAAATGATCTTCGAAATTCGCCTCAGCAGGTGCCCCCTCATTCATTTGCGTCTGTTGATTATCTTCATTTTCATCGGATGAATACGGAATTGAAATAAGTTTCTTTCCAGCTTGAATATTGGCCAATAATTCCTCGTTTGATAAATGGCGACCAAGTGTTGGCGTGAGTGTCTTTGGTGGCGAAGATGGTTCGGGACTTTGAGCTCCGGGATTATGTTCCTCCGATGGTTGTTTTGATGATTTCTCTTCATAAGAAGACTCTGGACTGTCAATTTTCACTTGACCGTCCTCGTTTTCTTGAATAGTTTGGTGTTCGTCGAACTTTTGTTGCACTGTGTCTGAGCCTGTCATCTCAGTTGGAACAGGTTCGGACTGTGCTTGTGAAGTTTCTTTGTTTCTTTCCTGAATTAGGATAGTTTCCTCTGGACGGACATTCTCTTCAAGACTCGAGGTATCGCCCTTGCTGTCATCATCAACTTCCGGTAAACTGCTTATCACCTGCTCTAAAAACTCTAATTTATCCGGTTCGTGTATGCTTTGACGCTTGTCTAAAAAATATTGCTCATCCTCATCGCCAATTTCTTCCTTGATTTCTTCATCAATTGCTTCTGAAATTTCTTGAGTGCCCTCCGTTTCTTGATGAGTTGTCAGATCATGTACATGTTGAGTTGTTGGATCATCTACTTGGTTGCTTGTCTGCATCTCATAATC